ATTATTAAAAAAGTTCATTTTAACAACTAAAATGAGATATATAAATAAATAGAAAGATATTTCTTATACCTGGGGCAGGGGAGGGAGAAACCAATAGAAATCGTTGTTGAGGAAGCTTAAATGATGAACTTATCACACAGATTTTAAATTGACTATTAGAATTAAAAAAAAATTACAAGAACAATGTCTCACCAAATAAATATCATCAATGAAGAGATTGAAATTATAAAAAATAGATAAATAAATAATATCTCTGAAATCGAAAGCATACATAACTAACATGAATAATTTGCTAGAGCAGCTTAACAATACATTTGAGCTGGCAGAAGAAAGAAACAGAAAATTAAAACACAAGACAATTGAAATTATCAAGTTTGCGGAACAGAAAAAAAAAGGGAAACAAACTGAACAGAACCTCAGAGATTTATGGTGAACCATCTAACACACTAACATAAACATAAAAGGATTCCCAGAAGAAGAGAAAAACAAAGAAGCAGAAAGAATAAAGAAATAATAACCCCAAACTCCCCAAATATGATGAGACATCCAAGAAGCTCCATGAACTCTGACTAGGATAATAAACTTAAAGAGATGCACACCGAGACAAACTGTAGTTAAAGAATGGAAAGAAAAAGACAGAGACTCTTCAAAGCAGCATTAGAGAAGTCAGCTATCAAATGCAAGGACTATCAACACCAACAACTAATTTCCATCAGTAATCATGGAGGTCAGAAAGAATTGGAATGACATATTCAAAGTGGTAAATAAAAATAATGTCAACCAAAGATCTTATAGTCATCAAAGCTATTCTTCAAAAATAAAGGTAGATTAAGAAATTCCAGATAACTTCTTGCAAACTGTCCTGCTCAATAAGAAACGTTAAAGGGAATCCTTCAGAAAGAAAGAAAGTACATGAACAGTAACTAAATCCATTCAAATAAATAAAGAGCACCAGTAAAAATAACTACGTAAGTAAATATAAAACACAACGTAAATGTATGTTTGTTTACAGTACACTTCTTCCATATGATTTAAATGACAACTATATAAAATAATAATTATAAATCTGTGTGGATAGGTTTATCATAAATAAAGATGTACTTTATATGACGAAAATAACACAAGGACAGTAAATGAAATGGAACTAAATTGGATCCAATGTTTTACATATTTTTCCAATTAAACTGATATCAATTCAAACTAGACAAATTTCTTGAAAGACACAATCTTCTGAAATTGACTCAAAAAGAAAAGAAAATCTCGACAGATCTATAAAAGTAAAGTAATTGTATTAGTAATTAAAATATTTCCTACCACCAAATTATGCTCAACACTTCAATGGTAAATTCAATCAAATATCCACATAATAATATTACTAATCATTTTTATACTCTTCCAAAAGACAGAAGAGAAGGAAGCACTTCTAACTCATTCTACGAGGCCAGGATTACTCTGACACCAAAACCAGACTATGACATTCCAAGAAAAAACTGCAGACCGATATTCCTCATGAATATAGAAGCCAAAATAGTGAAATACCAGATTACCAAATCAATCAACCTATAAAAAGAATAATATCTTTATTCCTTGAACCGAAGGTAGGCTTAACATCTGAAAAATCCATAATATAATACACTATATGAATAAAGAAACAAATGTCATGATCATCTCAATAGAAGCAGAAAAAGCATTTGATGGAATCCAAAACATTTCATGATGAAATCACTCAGCAAACTAAGAACTGTCTTCATTCCTCATTTAAAAAAAAAAAAAAAAGCAAATAAGCAAACAAAAACCATTAGAACTATGACAATAACAAGTGTTGTCAATGATGTGGAGAAATTCGAACCACAATACATTGCCGGTGGGATTATGAGGTGAGGCGGCCATTTGCAAAAGAGTTTATCAGTTCCTCAAAATGTCAAACATAGACTTCCCACATGATCCAGAAATTCTACTCTTAGGTATATACTCAAGACAAAAACATATGTCTATTCAAAAACCTGTGAAAGAATATTCACAGCAGCACAATTCATAAAAGTCCAAAGTAGAAACAATCCAAAAGTCCACCAACTGATGAATGGGTAAACAAAATAAGCCATAGCCATACGATAGTATATTATTCGACAATAAGAAAAATGAAGTACTGATACTTGCTATAGCATGGATGAATCGTGGACATATTCTGTCAAGTTGCAGTAAATTTCAAGGATTTCAGGGCTGGTCAAGAAAAAACATTTTTATGCGGTGACAGTATGTACATATGAGCTTTATCTGGATAACACTGATAGGTTGGTTTTGGGGTAGGGTGGAGACAGGCGTATCTCACAGCTTCAAGTTTTAGAGATTCCTGTATTTTATCCTGATTTTCTCCATGATCGAACTACCTCTTTCTTAGTCTTTCCTTCGCCCTTCCGCCCCGACGCACGAGCAGTTCTGATTTAGGAAATCAATCTTTCTTCCACAGATTCTTAAGTCAAAGGTAACAGCAAAAACATTTCTTTTTAATTAGAAACTATGTTTAGTTTGCTCTCTGTCACCCTCCTCCCAGAAGCGAAGTCATTCAGATACTCTTGGCATTGACCCTGGAACAAGGCCGGGGCCAGCCACTTCTCTGTATGCAAAGTTTGATTTTGTGGACCACCAAACATCTACTATTATTTACAGATTGACATAACGGACTGTGGTACTTATGAGAGAAAAACAAATGTGTGAAAATTGAATTCCAGACTCTCGATCTTTAATGTTTCTTAAACACTAGATTCCTTTGAAAACCTGGCTAATGATGTGGACTTTCCTTCCAGAGATCTCAGTGTGTACATCACTTTGTCATATGTTAGAGTTTCTTCAGACAGCCTAATTGCCAACTTATGAAAGCAGAATTAAATAAACACTATGTTAATTGGTCTTTTTCCTAATTTTTTATTAATTTCATCATTTTTTCTTAGCTACAATGTATTTTTGGATAGATTTATTTTTCTATATTTTAGACATTTTTTCAAACACAGAATAATTTTCTATTAGCAGATTGCTTGATCAATATTTCGGTAACTATCAAAGGCTGTTCAAACTGCTCTGTAGTTCAATTCTAATTTAAATATTTCTAGAATATGGAAAGGCAGCCCAAGCATTTTGGGGCTGAGGGCATTTTTGCCAGATAGCTCGAAAATGCTGCATATTCAATAACAATTTTTTTGGACAGGGGGCCTATCACATTAAATCTATGTGCTATACATGTCTCCCTTGCCTCAATTACAATAGCCTCAAACTCCCTGATAGAAATAAATGAAACAGATTCTTGCAGGAAACCCTGGTATCTCGCCACTCAGTGCTCACCAATGAACTTTTGTAGAAATAATTTGCTGAGTGCCAGATGAGTAATTATCTTCATTGCAAAATCAAGAGAAATTCTCTACATATCCTTTTATTATAGATATTTCACAGGTATAGGTAACTATTAGCCAGGCCATTTCCAGTGGCAAGTAATAAAAAATTCAGTGCAAATTAAATAGGTTACGCAAACACAACTGAAAAGTCTAAATCCAATCGGTCTCCAGACATTGCTTGACCACTGAGCCTAACCAATTCTTCAGCAATTTTTTTTGTACCCTCCTCTGTATTACAGTGTCTTCTCATAGTGGACATGAACGCGTGCTGCCACCTGGATTGCATAGCTCCCCTTTTCAGTACAGGAGGAGGCTGCTTCCTGCACCAACAGATACATGTCTATGCTTCCCTCTAACTGGACTATCCTGAACCAATCATTGTCACCAGTAGAGGACCATAAGCTAGTACATGTATAAGAGTTACATACAGCAATATTATACAATTAGAAAAACAAACAAAAAATAATTTACAATAGTTGATTTTACTTAAAGACATACATATCTGAGTGTTAGCAATATGACAATTATGTATTCTTGGTTTCACTAATCTACCCCAAATCCTATGTTACCAAGTTTATCTGTAATGTATTTAGTTAGAAATATCTTCCCCTTGCCCCCCCCACCCCCATTCACTGTTATGTTTATTATGAGAATGGAATGCAAATGAATTTGACAGTGACTGGCTTTAGATTTATAGTATGTTATCTTTGCAAGAATAAGGTGCAAACATCAGTCGTGCGCCTTTTAGAAATGGCATTTTACCATAGACTTCTTTACAGAGTCCCTTCGAAGACCTCATTCTATGCTGTTTGAAGAAAATTAAAATGGACATAAACCCAAATATCATGCCCTTACATTTTTTAAAATTGTGTTTTAACAAGAGTTACTTTTAAAGTTTTATTATGTTTTGACAGAATGAGATCCTGTGTTTATCAGGAGCGCTCTTTTTCACCAACATTTTGAAGCTTTTAGCAGCTGGACATTCTTAAAAATAGATTTGAAAGTGAGGGTAAATAGGATTGTCATAACTAGCCAATCCATCCATCCATCCATCAATCAATCTTTTTGCCAAAGTAATATTTTGTACCCATAATAGAAGGAGCATATTATTTCCCCAAAACATAATTTATTCACCTGTCTGCTTTGGAAATAGCTGTTTCACTGATATTCATGCACTTCTAATATAAGTGTTTATATGGTTCAATTAAGAATCCATTATCAGTCTATATGTCTGTAAATTGGGAAGAGAAGTAACTGGTGTAAATACTTACTATAGTTTTTTTTAAGTACCTGGTTCAGAATCTGGCACTAACTCAATATTCAACAAAATAGACTAACATTATTTTGTTGCTATTATTATCATTACCGTTCAATTTGATGCTTCTATGGTGTAACCAATCTATTTTTTCCAGCTATATTTAGATATAATGGACATAGAACACTATCAGCTTAAGGTGTATACATAATGATTTGATTTACATATACCATGAAACTTTTACCACAGGTTTAATTAACATCCATCATCTCACATAGAGACAAAAAGAAAAAGAAAAAAATTATTCCTTGTGATTAGAACTCTTTGGAGCTATCGTCTTGACAACTTTCATAAACACCCCAAATACAACACATTCCACAAATTTGAGCATCATCCTTGAGCAGGGGCCGAGCTAATCTCCTCTGTATCATTCCAATTTTAGTATATGTGCTGTCAAAGCGAGCACAATCTATTCTTTTTAAATGCCTATTTCAGTAGAGCTTCCATTTTGTCAGACAAAGCAGTTCTTTTCAAGAAATTCTTTACTTCTTAACAGTGCATTAAGTAGAGAGGAAGTGAGAATCTGTGGTGTATTTCAGCAATCGACAAAAGATGAGTGTCTTTCTGAAATATTTATTTTAGGCCTCAGAATTTAAACATTGGACATTTGCTTCTCTGGATCATCTGAAAGATCAAATAATAAACAATTGGATGTGACAGCTTTCCTCTTTGGTGTTTCCTGTGTCTGTTATAACAACAAGGGGTAGTACTTGATGACAGTCTGGGGGGGAGGTATATAAATAAACCGAACTTCAACTTAAAAGTTATTAATTGTACCTTGGTATTAAAATGAATGTAACATACTTATTATAGTATCTTTCTGCCAAATAACTGCGGTGTATTTCAAATAATGGCTCCACGATCACAATATCTTCATAGAAAAGACATTAGCCAACATAGTCTCACTATCATTATTTTACTAAAAACTCATCTAGCATGTTAAACATCCTATCTCTGAATTTTTAAAGACTACATTTAATTACTCATAGAAGCAAAATTTCCCTTAAATAATATTATTTTTTTGCACTATTTCATCCTTAACATAGGGTCTGCTTCTTCTTAGCTTAAAGCTTTTGCCATATTTGTTTTCAGCATTCTGTATCTACACCCACTTTCCATTCAAATAAGTTCACTTGGGCATATATATTTAGTTTCCTAGACTATAATATAAACAGTAATCATCCATTCCTCCTAATTTGCTTACTGGAAAAAATTCTCTCAGTAGTACATTAAATAGATGCCATGCACTGAAGCTCCGTATTGACTCCTAAAGCAGCAGAGAGACACACAGTGGTAGACTAACACGCGTCCACCTCAGTCACAAACACCAGGAGTTCTAACTGTCATCATAATAGTTGTTGCTGATTCCAGTTTTAAATGCCATGGCTGGTCAAGGTTAACAAGCTCATTTTTTTTTTCCTGATTATTTCCTAAGCCATTCGAGGTTTGCAATAGAACACTCTTACTCATAGTAAGTAAAATAAATAAATAAATAAGTAGATAATGCCTAAATGAGGACCAAGCCAGGCTGAAAAGAAATGATTATAAATGTTATATTCTTGTGGACATCCCAATTTTCACTTCTGGAAAGTTTTTATAAAGCAATAAGCAAAGTTATGACATCGTTTCTGAAATTCGATTACCTAGTCAACAAATATTTGTTGTGTCAGATATTTTTTGAAGGCATGCAGTGGACAAGACAAGCAAGAACTTCACTCGGTGATGCTCATGTGCCAGAGAGATGGATGGATCGAGTGGTTAGAAAAATAAAGAAGGAAACAAATATCTTTATTAAACAGAATATTTTAAGGTAGGAATAAGTGTTACTAAGAATAAAAAATATTGCTACATACTGAAGGGATTTGTTTTAGATTTGGTGTTTCAGGAAAACTTTCTCTAGGGAAGATATTAGAGATGATATCGCAATTGTACAAAGTACTTGTTCATATGACCAGCTGGAAGCAGAATTTTCCAGGCAAAGGGAATAAAACATAAGAAAAAAGTGATGGAATATTGATATTTCCCCAAAATGTGAACTGCAGAGGTTCAATGATATTTTGGTTTTCGAAATGTCCTGAAAATATATTGACGTGTTTTAAGGTATGTCATTTAAGCGAGGAATGAAAAGAAGTTGTAATGACTTCAAAAAAAAATGAGAGTCATTTGTGAACCTAATATTCTTAGCTGATTTCATTGTCCTGTAATGTATGAATTAGAGTGTTTAACTAAACAATCATTTACTATCTACTTCTTCTCAGGAGGATGCTCAATGATGTCAGCCATAACAAACTCCTAGGTGATCCTGTAAAAAATACTTTTATAAACTATTTAAAAAATATTTTTACTGTTCTCAGTCTACACCATAAGGAATACTTTTTATCTTTCAATCTTTAAACACACACACACACACACACACACACACGCATATGCATGTATAGCTAAAAACTATGTTTCATGAAACAATATGTATTGTATCTCTGTGTTATGATCTCTAATATTTTCTATCATTCCATTTTTTTAAAAAGCTGATCACAGCCTACTAAATACTAAATTGATATCATAACCAACCAATAGGTCTCAGCTTAAAGATGGAAAACTTTGTTCTAAGTTATTCAGCGATCTGCACATTCT